ACTATTCAACAACACAGCTTACAACTAATGTTAGGGGGCAAAATCTAGTGAGTGCTTCAAGATTGCTCGTGAGGGAATTCAATCATTATGTGAAAAGTTGACATGGTGGACACTGGCAACGTGGACATACCCGGCATTAATAGGCCGAAGGCGAATGAAATTTTGTTGGATCCATTACAAGTCAAAGCTAAAGGTTCGGGGGCTAAAAAATCTAAAAGGAAGAAAGGAGAACCACGACAGTGTAGCAATTGCGGTGAATTTGGCCACTATAGGACCCGATGCCCACATCCTGTTGGCTATGTGAAGCCAACCTCAAACGGTGATGCCCCGAATGATGGTGTTTCGGAAGAAGGTGGCGGTGGCGATGACACCGATGTTGATCCTCCCAGCACTCAAGATCAGTCGGAAACAATACAGAATAGAAGGCAAAAGCATTGCAGTAAGTGCGGTTCTACCAATCATAATGCAAGAACGTGTAATGGGTCTGGGCCATCCGATGATGAAAATGACGATGATGAAAATGACGATGACGACGATTATGAGCAACCTAGGGTAAGAATAAGATATAATTGTTCGTGTCTACACAATGCAGTTGCACCCAATAATTTTGTACGTCTAAAATCGTCGTTATCGATTTTGCAGAAGAGGCCTGTTACAAGAAGTAGCAAACTAAGGATTGTTGAAAACTTGGAGTGAAGATGGACGTCCTTATCCTATTCGGATTAGGACTAATGGACTATGTGAAGGCTGCCAGTATCAGCTTGAAGCGGCGTCGTTTGATTTATAAGAAGACTGTTGCCGTCTGCGGTGTCGTTTTACTTGTGTGTCGTTTTATTTATGTGTCTCTTTGGTCTATAAGAAGACTACTGCCTGCTACGGTGTCGTTTTATTTAGTTCGGATGGATTTGATTGAAGTCGATATGGAGGTTGCTCCCTAAATAAATCATGTGCAACATTTCAGTTGAATTATTTTTCTCACTCGTTTTTTTTATATTGAATTATTAGATCGGATTTTGGCTACTAAAATTATGAAATGTAATTTGGGCGTGAAATGACAAGAGCATTCGCCGACAGAGGACTTCTGAAAATGGAGGCAGTAATCAAGAAATAAACTACAATATTTTTATTGAGTGAAAGATCCCTCACCGATATATTATTAAGATCTCAAACACTAAAAGTACAAATCTTGAAAAAGAAAACAATGTACTTTCCCTCCTCCAACTTTTATACTATACATATGGCAACTTTCCCCTCTTGTATATATTTTGGGAGCATGATCAACAAGTACACGTAAATGTAGCACAGAAGAACCATCATATGACGTAGGGTTCCACAACACCTATTATGGAATCGTAACAACATATGATGATTCTTTGGGCTATATTCAGACGGCGACTTATTGTCATTGCTCCCCTCCCTGCCTCTAACAAAGACCCTGCATGGAGAGAAAAGGAGAAACAATACAACGAAGGATTTAGTTTAACAGTCATGATCTAACAATGACATAATGAAAGGAACTGAGATCTAAAATAATACGCAGTCTCATCATTACCACTGCACCCGAAAATAAAGCATGGACAGGAGGACGAAGAGGCGGATGGGGTTGATTTTCGGGGTTGAGAAGATGGGAGAAAGGGGTTGATTTTCGGGGTAGAGAAGATGGGAGAAAGGGGTCTTTTCAGGGATTGAGAGGAGGAACGGACAACAGCAGGAGATGAGTGCCTCTTGGGTTTCGGAGCATGGTCTCTCCCTCTCTGATTAAAGAATTTATAAATGAGCTCATAAATTTACTTTGCCTTTCCAGCCCTTCCCATTTACTGAAAATCACACTCCCTACCGCTGCCTCGACCTTGGTAACGTCAGCACTGGTTAGGGGCAAATGCGAATTTCCAAAAACGGCGATATCTGATTGGGTGACACGCCGCGGTTAGGATTGAAGCTCTCTCACCATCGGATTAAACGAAAATTTAGGAATTGACGGCGGGAGATGGGGATGTGCTTTTAGACTGGCTTTGTAGATTAACTAACTTTTTCGTTTACCAAAATTAATCTACAGATTTGGTACATGTAATTGTAACCCTAAACCCTAAACCCTAAACCCTAAACCAAACCCTAATACACGAACCAATCAATACCATATACTCTACAACAATAACACCTTAGAGCAACTCCATCCCATTGCTAAACCAACCTTTAGCAATTGGCAAAGTCTAGGTGGCAACTCAATTGGCAATTGCAAGGGATGGAGAGGCAATTGCTTATTTAGAAATTCCAAAGAAAACTTAGGGATGTAGGTGGTTTGCAATTCTTTTAACTGAAATTGCTAAATATGATGATGTGGCTGTAGGGACCACGTTTAGAAATTGCTAGGGATGGAGATGGTCTTACCCGAACCAATCCAACCCATTGCTTATTTAGTGGAATCCTAGGTGGCACCATTATTTAGCAAGATTGCAATGCCACCTAGAAAATTTTTTCTAAACTAGCTAGATTGCTAAATTAGGAATTCTTCTTGCAATGCCAAACCCTAATACACGAACCAATCAATAACATATACACTAAACCATCAACACCTTGCTTATTTAGACCATCTCCAATGGTGCAATTCTTGAGAATTGCAAGCTGATGTGGCAAGGGAGTGAAAGTGGGACAGTGAGTTGCATTGATGTGGGATCAATTACAAAAGTTGCAAATTTGCATCTGATGAATGTTTTCATGCAGTTGCAAATTTTCATGCAGCACACACATATATACAATTTCAATCATAATACTTTACATAATTCGAATAACACAACGACAAAAAACAACTTGAGAGATGCACTCAAATTAATATAATACACTCACCAATTAATATTGAATTGCATTGAAAATTAAGTAGGACCCACGGTCACAATTGATGTATAGTTAAAGTTGCTGAAGTGGCAATTGGGACCATATATTTGCTCGGTGTTGGAAACTTGAACTGAAACTGGAAGTCCTCCTATGCCGAGTCGTTTGGTATATAAGAAGACTGTTGGCTCTTGCGGTGTCGTTTAATTTATGCACTCATTAATGGTCACTTGATGGCAATTTTTAAGCACTTGGATGTGGAAATGTAATGCAGTAATTGGACCCAATTACCACATAATGCAGTAATTGGGTTAAAAACCCACGTTTGGGAGAGCCAAAATAGTATGGAAATTGGACCATGGAAATTGGCTTCAATTACCACATTCATGGTAATTGAGAATACTACACCTCCCCCTAGTAATTTGACATTACCACGTTTTCTTACTTCTTTTTCCGAATTCCATACCATCAATTCTCACAAAACTAAACCTTATCCAAACGTGAGTTTTTTTTTCAATTTCCACAAGTCAATTCCTTGGTTTTGTAAAACATGGAAATTCAGACAAATTTCAACATTTTAAAATTTCCACATCCAAACGACCCTATAAATCATGTGCAACATTTTAGTTGAATAATCTTGAGAACTAGTTTTTTTATACAATTATTACATCGTATTTTTTGCACTAATTTTTTGCACTCATTAAATGGGTAGAGCATGTGGCGACAGAGGAGCAGAGTTCGAAATCCGGCAAAAAATCCGGTTGGCCCAATCGTAAAGACTTCTAAAAATGGAGTCAGTAGTAAACAAATAAAGTACAGTATTTTTATTGGGAGTGTAGGATCTCCTGCAGATTTTAGAAGATCTCAAACGCTAATAGTACAAAGTACAGTATTTTTATTGGGAGTGTAGGATCCCCTGCAGATTTAGAAGATCTCAAACGCTAATAGTACAAAGTACAGTATTTTTATTGGGAGTGGAGGATCCCTCCCATATTTACAAGATCTCAAACACTTTTGGAAGCCGCCATGGAAGCGAAGAGAGAAGCAGAAGAAAAAATAACAAAACAATATACAAATATAAACAAATGTTACATAGAGTCCAGCAAAAACAAAAAGCTGTACTTTCCCTCCCTATTTTATCCTATTATACATATGGCAACTTTCCTATCTTGTATACATTTTGGGAGCATGATCAACAAGTACGCGTCAATATGGCGCAAAAGAACCACCACATGACGTAGGGTTCCACAACACCTATTATGGAATCGCAACAACATGTGATGATTCTTTTGGCTATATTCAGACGGCGACTTATTATCATTGCTCCCCTCCCTCACTACAACAAATTAGGTCAATTATGACGCAAGGACTTTGTCACAATACATTATGAATTTGTCATATTACATCCATTGTGACAAATATCATTCGTCATTGACGTTGTCGTAATATCGCCGTCGCCGTTGACTTACTGTGACAAAAATTTTAGATGTTCGTCATACTAGATCTACCAATAATGTGACCTTTATAAATTGTCATAAACATGTTACTAATATGACAAAATGATTTGTCATATTAAGCTGACACAGTTGTCATTCTACAACGGTGTTTGTCACGAGATGTCAAGTTTTATCTAACTTAATGTGACAAACACCGCGAAGTATGATAATTACATTTTGTCATACTCGACTGTTGTCACAATTGATATTCGTTCTGTTATTGGATTATGACAAATTTTACTTTGTCATACCTATAGAATTACGACCATCATCTTTTGTCATGGAAGGTTTACGAGTCATTATTGCAATTTCTGACAATTGATAAATTTGTCATAAATTCCATAATAAATGACGACTTTTGTTTTGTCAGATTATATTACTTGGATATTATGACAACATGTCTGTGTCATTTTTGTTTTGTATTATGACAAATGTGTTGTCAAAATTTACCATGAATGACACACAAATTGACAGAATTGAACCCTGTGTTCATAGTCATAACTAGAGAATCCAACCACATTAAATAAAAATAATCCCTCAATCCAAATCCAAACATTCAATTCAGTACCATCTTGATTTCAACATAGTCTTCCAATGAAATCCAGAAAAAGGCTTCCGAACAAGTTTAGCGTTGGTTCACCATAAAGGAGAACATCCTACGACAAAATGGACAGCTCATACTTCTAATTTTTAACATCTTCCCTTGCCATCTAATCCTTGCTCCTAATAATCTTCAACATCTGTAAGAAAACAATGAAAAAGAATATAGTTTGTCACTTACTCACATCCATGTTCAAGTGACAATTAATCTAAATAGTTGTTGTCCCAACACACAACTCAACTTGAGAACGAGACATATATAAATTCAGCTCCTTTAAGAACAATGGACTAGGAATATAGATAGTTACCTTTGACTGAAGGAATCCATGGTCATTTCCGATTTAGTGTTGCAGCAAATGACTCCATCTGCTGCTGAAGTTTCTCTTGTGATTCTCGTAGCTGCTGCATTTCCGCACCTTGCATTTGTAACTTCTCCTCCTGAAGTTGTATTTTCTCATCCTGAATTTGTATCTTCTCCTCTTGGGATTGTATCTTGGCCTCAAATTCCTTTGTTCTTCTCTCAGATTCAGCTCTTTCCTCTTGCAATTCTGCTTCCAGTTGTATCTCTCTTGTCGAACGAACTGTTTCCTTTGGTCCATACTTGACCTTTTTCTTCAGCACCATCTCAACAATCTCACGACCAGATAAGGACTTCCCATCTTCTTTTGCTTGGGTATGAATGGCTATCATCTCCTCCTATATACACAACATGGTTTTATCTAGGTAAGTGGCTTGGTAGCACCTCAAACTATAAATAAAGTGAACTTTTTTTTTCAAATGATATGAAATGCTTACATAGTTTTTCTTAGGTTCCTCGCTCACCCAGCTTCCATCATTTCTCTTATGGGTATTTGCATAGAGTGTAATATCTTTGGGCTCCTCCTCCATTTCATCAACTTGTTCATCTCCAACCTCCATGTTTGGTTGCTCAGTCGACTGCTTCTTCTTCTCCTAGATCAAGTTTGATAATACATTTGCAGGAAGGTGAAAGAAAGAAGGTTGTACATAACCAAACACAAACCAACCACTCTTATTCTCTAATTCACTAGTTCTGCAGCCTAGCTACACTGACCCTAAAAAACTATCAATTTTTGCATTGTTGAATGAGAAAGCTTACCATCTCATACATTCTTTGATCATGAGATTTAGCTCCAGTGGTATGAGCATACTGTTGCTTACCCTTGTTAATTTTATTTTTTTTAGATCGATTCTGCAAAGGGAAAAATCATTAACCCACAGGAGTTACAAATTTTTAGTGAGCATGAATCAGAATGACATTTACCTTAAATCGATCACTCTCAAAGTGATCACACAATAGCTGCCAATCATCCAGCTTCACACCTTCGGGGGGTTCGAGCGAGCTGTCAAAGGATCTTTGTTGTAATGCTTATTACAATGGTGCTTATAATTGAGGAACCGCTTTTGCATTCTAGAACTGAGAATCTTTTTTATAGCTACATCATTTGAATTTATATCAAACTCAGTCTGCATAAAAACAATACAAATATAGAAAAGAAGACGTTGTAAGTCAGCACAACCCATATATTTACCTATTAAAAATAGAATAGTGGAAGTTTTCAATGCAAATACTATTAGCAGCAAGCATAAACATCAAGAATACCTCCAATTTTGCAAACAGTGGTTGCTTTTCAGCTTCAGTCAATTCTGACCAATAGTACTTCCTTAATGGGGCCATGAGACGTGTAATGACTCCTATCTCCGTCTTCAATAAATTCACATTATAAATTCCTCAACCCCCGCTATATATTCTTCAGAAAATCTATTCTTTAGCTTCATCCAATCTTTGTTCATTTTCACTATGCATAAAGATAAGACTAACCTTCACTGCTGCCCTGTTTTGGGAGTTCCTAGATCACAGTGAAGAATGTTGAAATCACCTGCACATATAAGACCCATTCAACATGAGCAAACCTATTACTTAAACTCCTGCACAAGTTGTACTTTTAATGACTTAACACATGTAAGAACAGAATGTAAGGATCAATCACTCCATATATTCAATTAAAAACAAAATTGGAACAGAAGTTCTTCAATGTGGCTCTTATATTAACTTCCCTCTCAAATCATGGCCAAAGAAAGGATTCTGAGGCCAACCCCACTTACTTCATCTTTAGTTATTACTTGGCAGTTTTTACAGAGGAAAATTCACCCTCACATATGTTTTCAATCATCAAATCAATCTCTAGAAATAGATTGAGCAAGAATCTAACACAAACTCACTTTGTTTAATAGAAAAATCAACACAATGACCCTAAAACAAAGATTCCACCAATCTAAACCCATACACACATACATAGAAGCACTTATGTCTCGAAGGGAATTCACACAACCAAGAAAGCACAAGCATGCGAGATCAAAATCATAACCAGCCTTGCCTCTTGAAAAGAAAACTCATGTACAAGGAGGATGATGATGATATCAGCGTCCTAAACAAATGAGAACAGTACAAAAACCTTTGACAGAGGAACGAGGAGCATGAAAGAAGGATGTTGTTTCATACCGACTAAGAACTGCGAAATCAATTTGATGCCGGTAATAGCTTCCTTTCTATTACGATTCCTTGGCTAGCGATTTAGTAGGCTCGAGTCTGTGGAGGTGTACGAAAGGGTTAGAAGGAACATCGAAGAGAAAGCACAAGCGGCAACATCAAAATCAAAACAATTGCATGCACAGAAAATCCTTTGATGCAGAACAGAGGAAATTGAAACAGGAATTCGACTACTTACATGCGCCAAAACCAATCCGCCGTCAGAGTAGCCTTCCGAGATACTCGATTCCCTTCTCGGAATTGACTGGGCGCGAGCCTTTTGGGGGAGACGAAAGGGTTTAATCATAGTAGTTTTGTGGGCGTAAGGGTTTCAGAGAGGCCGGGAAGGAAAAGGGGGACTTCGATCGTCTAATGAAGTGGTATTTTTTTTCTTGTTAGAATAATGAATGGCTGTTAGCAAAACGACATGGTAAATGAAATAATGTATTTTATTTTGCCCTTTAATTTGTATTAATGAATGATGATTTGGTAAACAAAATTTGATATATATATATATATATATATATATATATATATATTAGTTATTTTTATTCACATTAAATCATAGGTAGTAATATTATAATGAATAGCAAAAATCGACAATGCAAAGTTTATGAGTATATACAGTTGCCTCAGAACAGAAACCCAAATAACATTGAAATAATATATATACCGTGGACCGGGGGCGTTGCCCCCGAGCCCCCACCGGGGCGTTGCCCCTGGACCCCACTCGCTGACCGGTCAGCGAGACCCCCGTGACTTCTAGTCGTAGCGGCTGATAGTCCGACTCAAGTCAAATTAACACGTTAAATTAACCTAACATCCCCATTTTGGGTTATGTATAATGTACAATTTAACCGATTAGGACTCGAGTTTGTGCAATTGCATATAAGACTCTAAGTTTAGGCGATTAAATGTTGAGTATGTCCCTTATAGGTTTACTGTTCAACGCCTATGAATTGAGATTTGAACTACATTAGTGTTTAATTTAGAGTTGCAGGTAAATGATTTACTGACGATTGTTTGTCATATTAAATGAACACCCAACACTTAATGATATTTTAATGATATAGTATACTCTTCATATTAACTCCTATGAATAGTTAATTTGACAATCTATTTTGTCATTTTAGACGTTTCATTCTTCCCTCCATTATTTCCCGCCATTACCAAATTCATATTGTGACAAATTCGCATACCGTCATTTTAATGATCAAGTACACTCTTCATATTAACTCCAATTAATAGTTAATTTGACAATCTATTTTTTCATTTTAGACATTTCATTCTTCCCTCCATTATTTTCCCGCCATTACCAAATTCATATTGTGACAAATTCGCATACTGTCATTTTCCTAGATCAAGTACACTCTTCATATTAACTCCAATTAATAGTTAATTTGACAATCTATTTTGTCATTTTAGATATTTCATTCTTCCCTCCATTATTTTCCCGCCATTGCAAAATTGATATTATGACAAATTCGCATATTGTCGTTTTAATAATCAAGTACACTTTTCATATTAACTCTAACTAATAGTTAATTTGACAATCTATTTTGTCATTTTAGACATTTCATTCTTCCCTCCATTAGTTTCCCGCCATTAATAAATTCATATTGTGACAAATTCGCATACTGTCATTTTAATGATATAATATACTATTCATATTAACTCTTGTGAATAGGTAATTTGATAATCTATTTTTTCATATTAATCATTTGTCATTTAATAATTTCATTTTTCCTTCATAAGTTCCTGCCAAATTGATATTATCAATAAACATAATATGACTCATCATGCTTTGTCATATTATATCAACTCCTCTGCAATTGATGTTGGACATTATGACAAAATAACTTGTCACAAAAACTATCGACATTATGACAAACCCCTAATTTGTCACATAATACAACCCACATTTCCCCCCAAAACCTCCCGCTAAAAAGCCTTCTCATCAACACACTATTACGACAACGAGACTTGTCACACGAAACATCGTATGCTATGTAATGTGACAACATAAAATACGACAATAAATGTTGTCAGATTATATAGTTCTATTGTCATCCCATCGAGATTTTTATGACAAATTACCAATGACAAAAAGATTTTCATCGTAATAGAATGTTAATGTGACGCATGTAAATGACAAAAGACAAACTTGTCACAAAAGATATGGCAAATATGACAATGGTTCTATTTGTCATATATGGTAATATATTGTGACAAAAGATAAATGACAAAATGAAATAATTGTCATACTAGACCAAATTTGTTGTAGTGCCTGCCTGTAACAAAGACCCTGCATGGAGAGAAAAGGAGAAACAATACAACGAAGGATTTAGTTTAACAGTCATGATCTAACAATGACATAATTAAAGGAAATGAGATCTAAAATAATACACAGTCTCATCATTACCACTGCACCCGAAAATAAAGCATGGGATAGGAGGACGAAGAGGCGGATGGGGTTGATTTTCGGAGTTTCATATTGAGAAGATGGAAGAAAGGGTTCTTTTCAGGGATTGAGAGGAGGAGGAACGAACAGCAGCAGGAGATGGTTTTCGGAGTTTCATATTGAGAAGATGGAAGAAAGGGTTCTTTTCAAGGATCGGAGCACGGTCTCTCCTTCACTGATTAACGAATTTATAGATTGACTCGTAATTACTTTTACTTTCCCTCCCTTCACATTTACTGAAAATTACAGTCCCTACCACTGCCTCGGCCTTGGTAACGCCAGCATTGGTTATGGGCAAAAGCGACTTTCCGAATTCGGCAATATCTGATTGGGTGACACGCCGCGGTTAGGATTGAAGCTCTTTCACCATCGGATTAAACGAAAATTTAGGAATTGACGGCGGGAGATGGGGATGTGCTTTTAGACTGGCTTTGTAGATTAACTAACTTTTTTGTTTACCAAAATTAATCTACAGATTTGGTACATGTAATTGTAACCCTAAACCTTAAACCCTAAACCAAACCCTAATACACGAACCAATCAATACCATATACTCTACAACAATAACAACACCTTATAGGCTTATACCGTAACCAATCAATAACATATATACTTTAAACCATCAACACCTTGCTCCTCCCTTATACCATAACCTTCAAGACCTTATACTGTATACCAACAACACCTTCTTCTATCTCCATCCCCAACTTTCAATTTATAATAAGTGTTTCCTTTGAAATATAAAATGGAACCCACCTTGGCAATTACTAGCATAATTTAGGGATGTAGATGAATAGAAATTGTTAAGTGATGAATTGCTAAAAT